GCCTCCCACAGTGCTGGGATTACAGGCTTGAGCCACCGCGCCCGGCCGAGCCTGTCAGTCTTTCACAGGAGGCCTTAGGGCAACAAGGCAAATTCAACCAAATCTGGACTGAGAGCTCTTCCTGCCCAATCAGACACTCAGTGCCCCCCGCAAAAAGTCTTTAAACTCACCTCACCACCTCTGAGGCAAGTGGCTAATCATCAAGGCCTTTATTATCTCAGAGACAGACAGACAGATCCAGGTCTGGGTCATTGAGACTAAACATGATTCCCAAGTCACATGTAGATGCAAAAAAAAGTCCATGAAGAGAAACTTTTCTGTATTAGTTACCTATTAGTCTTAGGCAGCAGTAATAGAGTGCTGCCTAAGATTCTGGGAGCTGTGGCTTTCCCACATTTGTTTCCTATAACTCTGTTGTGAATTCTCTGGTGATTCTTCTTGAAAGGGGGTGTCTATAGCTGAAGGCTTTCCCATTTTCACTGCACTTGTAATGCCTTTTTCCCATAGGTACTTTATATTGCTTTCTCACATAGGAGAGGTGACTGAAGACCATCCTGTATTCCTTACATGCAGGGGTTTTCTCTAATGTGAATTTTTTGGTTATAGATAAGGATTGATTTCTTCTTGAGTGTCTTTCTTCATACCAAGTGTTTCAAGAGTCTCTCTTCATGTGGGCTCTTAGGTGGTTGAAGAGGGCTAAAGTCTTCATGAGGGCCTTCCCATAGCCAATGCTCTTGAAGGGCTTCTCTCTCATGGCCTTCCCAGTGTTAACTGATGTTGGAGCTGTGTGGCAGCATCTTCCTACTCAGCTCTTCATGGCTTCCCTGTGCCATGGGTGGTCTGGTGATGGAGAAAGGAAGGCATTTCCACATTCTCTTTTGAGCTTCTCATTATTCTGGTACTCCAGTGCTGGAAAGAGGGTAGTTACCCTGGAAATTATTCACAAATGCCTGGCCCTAGAGTCCTCTCACTTACGAATTCTGCTGTGCATGAAAAGTGCTCTTTACAAATGAGACTGTGAGTCGTGTCACATCTTAAAAGGTGGTCTCCACCATTAATGTTGTTGGTGAAGGTTTGATCTACTCCCGTGTGGGGTTTCTATCTGGAGTATCCTGCCTAACATTCAGCCAGGAGTACAATCTTTGGCAGGCTAAGGGTGCCATGGTCAGGGTGAGGAATGACCAGTCATGGAGTACTGGCCCTGTCACACACCCCACTGCTGAGCCTGTTAAGTGACATTCACATGGGCAGGGAGAACAGAGAGGGATCTAGGACAGATTGGCAGCAGCGGTGGCTACTGAAACTGTTGTTCAGTGATGTGAGCCCAGGCCACTCTTTGCTTTTTTTTTTTTTTTTTTTGAGACGGAGTCTCACACTGTCTCCCAGGCTGTAGTGCAGTGGCACACGATCTCGGCTCACTGCATTCTCCGCCTCCTGGGTTCAAGCAATTCTCCTGCCTCAGCCTCCCGAGTAGCTGGGACTACAGGCGTGCACCACCACATCCAGCTAATTTTGTTTTTTTGTATTTTTAGGAGAGATGGGGTTTCACCATGTTTGCCATGATGGCCTCGATCTCCTGACCTCATGATCTGCCTGCCTCAGCCTCCCAAAGTGCTGGGATTACAGGCTTGAGCCACTGCACCCAGCCCACTCTTTTCTTTTTTAGAGATGGGGCCTTGCTATGTTGCCCAGGTGGGCGCAAACTCCTGCACTCAAGAGATCCTCCTGCCTCAACCTCTCAAGTGGCTGGGACTATAGGTGTGCACCACTGCACCTGGCCAGACCTCTCCTTTATGGGACTCCTATTCACATCCCAGCCAATGCTCTCATGAGTACTTCCTTGTATGAGGGAGGTCAGGGAAACAGCAACAGCTCACGTGTAGATTATGCTGAAATTACATGGTAAATAAGCTTTTAAAAATAGGTGCCAAGCACCATATTCTACAAGGTTCTGGATCTCAAGCTTTTTCTAAAATACCAGATCTGTCAACTGTGTTAAATAACCACATCTGCCTGTGCCCACTCTGTTGGCCAGCAAGACTGTGAAACCAGGAAGTGTGTGTTATTGACCAGAAACCCTGGCCAGACTATAAAAACCACTTTCCTGGACTATAGGCTGTCACTCTTCTCAGTCCCCAGTTCCTACCTGGGGAGTGATGGGTGCCAAGATACAGTTCAAGAGAAGTGAAGTGAATGCACACAAAATTGCATTTATCTGTTTTAACTGTGGCAAAAACTTTAACTTGGCAAGTATGAAGGTCTGCAGCTCTGGAGTTGTTCTGTACACCCTCACCCTGCAGTCAGAGTTGACGGGGAACTATGGCTACTCCTTTGTCCAGGATAGCATTTGCTCTAGTTTACCACAGTCTCCCCAAATCCCTATTTATTACCTCACATCCAGTGTTTCTCTATGCACATGGAGTACTCTCTGGGCCCCTCTAGGTTTTGCCTTGGTGATCCTGTGACTATTTTAGTGTTGTAGACTAATTTATTTTTCCTCAGGGTAAGCTCTGTGCCCTAAGGTAACCCTGAAACACAGGCCACTATGTTCGGTCCACAGCCTTTCAGTCTTTCCCAGTACTTTACATAGCAATATGAAGTAGGCTACAACCGGACAGAGCAACTACCCGCTCTTCTACTGTGCCCTTAGCCAGATTTCATGCCCCCCACTCTATCCATTCATTTTCTCAACCTACTCCAACAGAATCCCTAAGACTAAAAGGTGACCTTGTCAATAAGGTCTTTATTATCACACAGTATAGTGCAGACAAGGTAGGTTATTCCGGTGGAGGGTGATTTGTGGTCTCAGTGGACACATCTTAGGGTTTAAACACAGACTTGATTTCTTCCTGAGCTCAAATTAGATTTCCTTCAAGGCCCCTTGACCAGCATGGGTTCAGTTCACTGCCTAACCCTCTCAGAGGCAATAGGAATTAAACCACTCCAGTGAGCTGAGGACTGTCCTGAATCCCTACAGGACAGGGTAAGGGAGCCTCAGGGAACTGTTTTCCCCATGCATGAGGACAGGACTGCTGCAAATTTTTGGATCCAGGCACGATGGAAAGTGGCTATGGCTTCTGCCTTATGCTCCAAGGGTGAGATGGCCATGCAAAGTTTTCTGGGCTGGTGAGAAAGAACAGAGTAGCTTCTAATCGCTTTGCCACGTTAGGAGTACATGTAGGTAAATTCTAATATGGGGATTCTACTGCAGAAGTTTGACTTGGCTGAAGATTTTCTCATAAAGACCACTCCCATAAGGCTCCACTCAGGTATGAATCTTTCTGTGCTGAGCAAGGTTACAAAGATGGCTGAAGACTTTCTCACACTGGCTACACTCATAAATCCTTTCTCTGGTATGAGCTTTCTGGTGCCGAACAAGTGTAGATCTTTCACTAAAGGCTTTTCCACACTGGATGCACTCATAGGGCCTTTCTTTTGTGTGAACTCTCTGATGACGAACCAGGTGGGAGTTACTGCTGAAGGCTCTTCCACATTCACTGCATTCATAAGGCCTTTCTCCAGTGTGAACTCTCCAGTGACAAATAAGGCTAGATTTTCGGCTAAAGAATTTCCCACATTCACTGCACTTATAAGGCTTTTCTCCAGTATGAACTTTCTGATGCTTAATGAGAATGGAGTTTTGGCTAAAGAATTTCCCACATTCGTTGCACTCATAAGGCTTTTCTTTTGTGTGAACTCTCCAGTGTTCAATGAGACTGGAACTGTGAGTGAAGGCTTTCCCACACTCACTACATTCATAAGGCCTTTCTCCAGTGTGAATTCTCCAGTGCTGAATCAGGCTGGAGCTGCGGCTGAAGGATTTCCTACATTCACTGCATTCATAAGGCCTTTGCCCAGTATGTACTTTCTGGTGCTGGATGAGGGTGGAGCTATTGCCGAAGGCTTTACCACATTCGCTGCATTCAAAAGGCCGTTCTCCAGTGTGAACTTTCTGATGTCGAAGGAGATGGGAGCTTTGGCTGAAGTCTCTTCCACATTCACTGCACTCAAAAGGCCGTTCTCCAGTGTGAACTTTCTGGTGCTGAGCAAGGTTGGAGTTATTATTAAAAGCTCTTCCACATTCACTGCATTCATATGGTCTTTCTCCAGTGTGAACTCTCCAGTGCTGAATGAGAGCAGAGCTTCGGCTGAAGGATTTACCACATTGATTGCACTCATAAGGTCTTACCTGGGTGTGAACTTTCTGGTGCCGAAGGAAATTGGAGCTTTGGCTGAAGGCTTTTCCACATTTCAGGCACTCAAAAGGCCTTTCTCCAGTGTGAACTTTTTCATGTCGAATGAGGTGTGATCTGTTATTGAAGGCTTTCCCACATTCACTGCACTCATAATGTTTTTCTCCTGGGTGAATTCTCTGATGATGAACAAATGTGAGTTTGTGGTTGAAGGTTTTTGCACTTTCAGTGCACTCATATTTTACTTTAGTGTGAAGTTTCTGGTGCTTCCTCAGCTTAGATGGGTGACTAAAGGCCTTTCCACATTCCTTGCACACATGGGATATTTCCCCAGTGTGAAGTTTTTGATTACCAAGGGTTGATTTCTCCTCTAAGAAATTTCCACCTGTTGGGCATCTAAATGTTATCTCTTCAGAGTGAGTTCTGAAATGGTTGAGGAGAGTGGAGCTTTTCAGGAAGGCTTTTCCACAGTTGCTGCACTTGAAGAGTTTCTGTGTGGTACAGAGTTCTGGAATCTGCCCAAGATTGGAATATGGCTTCCTTCCACTGTCAACAGCTTGAAGCTGGAGGAGGTCACGGCTGTCCAGGATGGCCTTCCCACCTTCCCTACAAGTCAAGGGGTTCTCTGACAGGTGGACTTCAGAGCTCTTCATAAGTACATCCCTGTCCTTATACCATCTGAAGGGCTTCCCTCTACTATATTCCTGGTGCTGGTGAAGGTATGCACTCAACCAAAACTCTCTCCCACATGCTCCACATGAGTAGAGTTTCTCCTCAGAGTATGTTTTCTGATGCTCAGGCAGGTGCAAAATGTCTTTCGAGAATGGCCCACACATGTCACAGGGGTAAGCCCTCTGGGTGGAGGGATCTGTATTTGCACTCCTGACCTGTAACACCTCTTCTACAGAAGCATTCTTCTTCAGATGGGCCTCCTGACCCTCTACTCCATGCCAGCAACCTGAAAGTAGAGAAACGCCAGGCAACTAGGTATTCCACTTGGTGGTAATAGATGCCTTCATTAGAAATGTGTTACCCAGGAATTCATACCCAAGAACAGGTCCCAGGAATTGTTGACAGGCCAACAGGACCATCATCAGGGTGAAGAAGGGCCCATTACTATGCAGGATAGGGACCAGCCAAGCAACAGAATAAGGGAAACCTCACGAGAGTATGGACACAGAAATGGGTCAAAGAACTTAAATAGACATTTCTCCAAAAGAAGATCTATACACAAACGATCAACAAGCATTTGAAAATAAGTTCAGCATCCTTAATCATTAGGAGTATGCAAACCAAAACCACAGTGAGATACAACTTCACACCCACTAGCATAGCTATAATAAATAAACAGCAAGAAATGAAGTAGAAAAACTGGAGCACTTATACACTGCAGATAGGGATGTAAAATGGGGCAGCCAATTTGGAAAACAGTTTGGCAAGTGTGCTCCTACAGAGCTACACAAGAGAACTAAAAGCATATCTACACAAAAATGTGTACAAGACCGTTCATGGCAGTATGTTTTTAAAAACTGAGATGGGGTCTTGCTACGTTGCCCAGATTGGTCTCAAACTTCTGAGCTCAAGTTATCCTCCTTCCTCAGCCTCCTGAGTAGCTGGACTATAGGCACCTCACCCAGCTTCTATAGCAGCATTTTTTCTGACACCTAAAAAAATGGAAACAAGCCACATTCTCATCAACTGATAAATAGATAAACAAACTGTAGTCTATCTATACACTGGAATTTGGCTGTAAAAAAGAATGAAATATTGATACATCCTACGAAATCGATGAACTTCAAAAACATGTTAAGAGAAAGCCAGTCACAGAAAAACACATGGTAAGAGTCAATTTTTTTTTTTTTTTTTGAGACGGAGTTTCA